TTGAAAAGTGGTCAGCAACTCTTCAGCTACTCAGGCAGCAGCCCTAGTAACAATGCACCAGCAGGCAAAGAAACCAGGATGCTTCTCAGGACGGCAAAAAAACCATCTGACCACACAGGAAGGTTTCCAGATTAATGTGATCCCATAAAACAGTGGCAACCTCCTAACCTCCAAAATAGCTATGCCTCTTGACTGGCCGCATACAGACTTCCTACCTAGCTTAGAGAAGCTGTGCTAATAGCCCCTTCTTGAGGTCTACACAACTTCAAATGGTTAAGACTGGCTCCCTGACAGAGCCCTGGAGTTCTGCCAAGTTCACTGCTACTGAAGCTTTGCTTACGACAGCCAGCCAGTTCAATGGAGCTGAGTTACATGGCAGGTGTGGATCTGGCGAAGAGATCTAAGGAGCTGTGGGACGGGCGAGCTCAAGTGGGGTGACTGGCAAGAAAGGCCCGCAAAAGGGAGGCCTTTCAGGCAACACACGGCAGCCATTAACTGCTAGGAAACGGAGGCAGCGGCAAAGGCGGATCAGGTTAGGGGGCTGTGATTTGAGTAAGGGCAGTTCAAGAAAGCAGTCACACAGTACCACCAAACGAGGCCTTGTAAACAGTGCCCTGGCCACAGCTGTGAAGCAGAGGAAAGGATCCAGGCCTACTCGCCATGTCAACAGCTGCTGGCTTCTTTGCTTTTTTTCTAGCCACACTCAACCCACAAGAATAGCACCATCCATGTGTAGCAAGGTCTTCCAACAGACAATGAAATGCATCTGTCTACTGAGAAACATTCCCACACATCTGCTTATGTATAAACCCATATCTACAGCCACTGGTTGCCTTTCCTACCGTGTGGCTGTTATTTGGGCCAGTTACTAAGGCATTATCTTTCAACTGGCTTTGCATGGGGAAGTGGATAACCACTGTACACACACGACTCAGGAAAATCAAAGGTTGAGAGTTACTGAGTTATTACCTGGGATGCTACAATTCTGTTTCGCAGGTCACATCTCTAAAGAGAATGGAGTGATTTTACATAATTAAATTTTCTGAGACCTGAAAATAACACCTCTATGTTTATATAGTGGCTTCCTAGAGAAACACATCCTTTGAAAAAAAAAAACCAAACACTTAGATTCTACACCCTTAGTCTTTCTTTCTTCCAAGAGATGTGCTGTTCCAGGAAAACATCTGAAGGTTTCTTGCCTCTGCACCTTTGCTGACATCATGTTCCCTATACCTGAAATCTACCCTCCCTTCCCTTAATCAGTCTTCTATTTTTTGAAATCCTATTTAACTCTCAAGGCCTACCTCAAATGCTATTTTCTACATGAAACTCCCATGATCTTTTCTCCTTGGAACTCTCCTAACACCCTGCTTGTACTACTTCCATCCATTAATCACTTTCTCTTTTGTAATTTATCTTAATGCCACGCTGCCTACTAGACTGGTTCCTGGAGAATAAGGAGCATGCACAACTTCTACTTCTATCTTCCTACTACAATGCCCCGAACACATGAATAATTGTGGCTTGGTTGATATAAGTCATTGACAGACTAGTCAGTGTGTGCTATTCTTATTTACTAACCACGTTTCTATACTACTTCTTCAAATTGATTCAGGGCCTTACAACAACGCATGCTATAATATTCAGAATGGGGGGAGGGAGCAGTGGGAAAGTTGATGGCCATCCCTAAGCTCTGCTGGGGCCTCTCCCGTTTGGCTCAAGATGAGCGACAAATGATCTAGTGAATGGACTGCTCGTTGCCTGACTAATCTTTGGGCCTTAAGTGTTGGGCTGCTTACAACCTGGAGTTTGGGCCATCCTTGTTTCCAACCTTAGGAATATTACTTGGGAAGGGGGGCAGAGAAGACAATTGATAACAGGAGGCTAACTAACCTTTGGTGCTGCCTATAATAGTAGCTGACATTTATGTGAGCACCTGAAGGTTTTCAAAGAACTTTTTCATCGGATTCTTACAACAACCCTTCGAGGTATGTTTTATTATTATCTCCATTCTATGGATAAGGAAAGTTGAGGCCCAGAGAGATTAAGTGACCTGCTATGGTCATATTACTATTAAGTATTAAGAGGCAAGACTCTCCTAACCCTTGTGTATGGTGAAAAGCTAGGGAGAAAACAGAGTCATTATCTGGAAGGATGGAAATAGCGATAACTTAGTAGTGATTCCACAAGTCTGGCTAACTAACTCTTGGTCTACTTCACAAGTAGGTGGAGCAGTGGATAGAGAGCTGGGCCTAGAATCAGGAAGACCTGAGTTCAAATCTAGCAGAAGATACCTACTAGCTGTGTGACCCTGATTAAGTCATTTAACCTCTGTTTGCCTCAGTTTCCTCAACTGTTAAATGGGGATAGGAATAGCACCTACTTCCTACTGTTGTTGTGGGAATCAAATAGAAAAAAAATTTGTAAAGTGCTTAGCCTGGCACATAGTAGGCACTATATAAACGCTAGCTAACATCATTATGATTATTCACTAAATCACGTCTCTGTGCCTGTCAGCCTCTTGCTGCCCAGGGCCCTCTCCTAGGACTCACCCTAGGAAGACCTGCTGATTCACTACTAAGGCATCTCTATTTCCATCCTTCCAGATAATGGCTCAGTTTTCTTCCCAGCCTTCCATCATACAGGAAGTATGGGTCTTAAAACAGATGTGTACCTGAATGAACAGCAGTAATGAGGAGCTGACTAGAAGTCAGAGTCAATACAGTTTCAAAAGGAAACAGGAGGGCTTTTTTGTTTTGTTTTAAATGCTTACCCTTTCACAACAAACAAGGCCAAGGAGACAATGTAAAAGCATTTTCTTCACAGTCCACAGCTTTCTGGGCAACAGTAGTGAAACAGGAAGAGCCGGTAAGTCAGGAGAATTGAACCTCACTTAGCTGTTATGATGTGGATGTCCGAAAACAACTGACAAGTCACATGGTTATCTTCCACAAATCAAGATCCCTCTCTCTAGTTTCTGCTTTCCTTTTTTCTTTTTCTTTCTTTCTTTTATAAAGTAGCTGCTACAGATACAATAATGAAGGTTTGTGATCAAAGTCACCAGGTTCACCGTTACAGATGAATACCCCAGTCACACCCATAGGGTCATCCTTTCCTGTCTTTACACTCCTCCTTAGCAGCTTGATTCTCAAAAGGAATTTTGCTGCTGTGATCAAAAGTAACCACAGACAAGTCATGGACAAGGTCTTTTTTTACGCTGCTATGATCAAGTCCTTCTGGCTACCACCTGGTAAGTCAGGCAAGTGAATTTATAAGCCACTATAGTATCTATAACTTGGAACTGCAACCCTGAGATTTACTTTTCTTGAACCATAATCTTTGGATGGAGAATTTCCATTTCTCCATAACTTCAAGTGTAGGTCGAAAGATGGGTTGGCTAATGTCTACCTGCTCCCTGGGCAGATTCTAGTATCAGCACAATGCAAATAGAGAAGAAAAATTGGGAGTGTCTTTAAAAGGAGATTACAAAATAAGGACAACATAAACTCCAGGCATGGTAACAACTCCTGAGTAAACTCTTAAATTCCTAGATTCATTTCAAAAGCAATGGAGAGAAATGATTGAGTCAAGTTTCCTAAGACTGCAACGGACATGTCTTGTAAGAGAAGTGCCTGACAATACTCACAACAGGGAAAGCTGTAAACAAAGTACACCTCCATTAACAACACACACACTACACTTGGGTGTGGCCCAAGATGAAGACTTGTTTGCAATCGAATAGTCTCCACATTCTTCAGACCTGTGGGCCACTAAAACTTTCGAGATCCACTCTCTCCCAGTGAGTTGTGCAGGAGGGTACGCTGGTCAGTGAAGGCTGACAAAAGCCAATACTTCCAAAAGAAGAGCTCCTGGTCGGCCAGTTGTACCAAAAGGACTTTGCTAGAGATCCACAGAGCTCCTAGTTTTGAATTTGTGTTATTTTTTCTTTAGGTGGGGCTCCTAGCTTTGAATGTTGTTGTTGTTGTTGTTTCTTTAAATGAGTTTTTATATTCTATTGTATTGCTTTTGCCAGTGACCTCAGGTTGATGAGGAAGTGGCTGGCCACCTGTCCCCAGAAGTTCTGGGTCTGGAGAGCAGGCAGAGTGGGACCCACCTCCTGAAGGATGATTTTTCCAGGATCCAATGAAGCTTTGTTTAATTAACACAATTCTTCACTCAGAGGTCAGAAGATCTTCCTGAGACCACAAATCTGATCCATAGAGATCTCTTCTCGTGCCTGATGAGTAAGATCTATGCTAGCCCCATTGGATAGTGCCAGAAAAACTGGGAAAGGATAACAGGAAGAAATTTTCGCTAGAAAGAAAGGAGCTTCCCCTAAGACCTGGTACTTCTAAAGTGTCAACAGGGGTTGAACAAAGGAATAGTGTTGCTGGGAGATGTCTCCAATGTGCCAGTTTTTCATAATCAGGAAGGGATGGACAGGGGATGCACTCAGCAACCCCCAAATGCCAGAAAGGGTATCTATTTCAAGGTTCTTATTGACCCCTGTGGTTGCAACCAAGTGATTCTCTTCCCTGGAACGCCCTTTACCTCATCGCCAAGAGCCTGTTGCTGCAAAGTGAGGGCCACGCTGGTCCTGGTGAGAGGGTGATTTCTAAGAGTATGCACTATCTAGGGCTCACATGCTCACCATCCCCAGGTAGTCTCTCTGATCAGAGACCCCATACTCCTAAGATTTTTCTTTTAGGAGAAAGAAATACTCACAATAGTTCACTGGACGGTCTGTTTCACTTTCCCCCACACTAACTGGTAAGCATGGAGCTCTTCCTTTAAGCCTTAACACATACATATGTATGCATACATAATGTAGATGAAAGCAAGTCCATATGCCTATGCATTTTAGAAAGTAAGAAGTCTTCACGGGAAGTGTTGTGGTTTTTTTTTTTTTTAGCATTAGTTTCTCCTAGGGTCTGGCACATAAATGAGAAGGTTAAGTTGACAAGTCTATGGTGCTGTATGCTATAGAAATATCTACTCACAACCTGCTTGTATCTCAGGGGGAGTATTCAAAAGCATCATGGCAGTGGCAGCATCAATGTCAGGATCTGGAAAAATCAACCAATAAATACATTATTTACAACGGGGCCAATGTGTGTGTGTGTTTTTCCCCCTGTACGTTATTGTTTACTGAATTCAACAGTGAAAAGAGCTAGGAAATAGAGGAGATATCCCAAGGGTGTCCTCCGTCCCTTTTTTGCATCTGGGGATAGAAAAAGGCTATTCTTGAGTTAGGATTCAAAGGACGTATCCCTAGGCTTCAATTAAAAAGACATAACCCCACCCCCAAAACGAGACCTCTGCTTTGGCAAAGAGGGCTCCTTTTCACTGCATTCATTTCATAGCTTGCATTGTATTTTTCTGAGAAGTAATCTGTGCCACTTGCCTGGCACCCCCCTTCTCCCCTGGGAAAAACAAAAACAAAACAAGGAAAGGTCTAGCCATTTTCTTGTAGCTCAGGGAAAAAAATTAAGCACACCTGCATCTGGGGGGGATACAAACATGACATTTGGTCATTTCTACTCATCAGCAAAATCTAAATGGTCACTTTTGAGACTGAGCGTGCATAGAGGTGGCAGAGCCTCTCTATATATTTTGGAAATATAAAGTTCCCTTCTTGGGGGCACCATCGCTTGCTTCAAAATCTATTGCTGCTTTTTAATAAGAGAGAGAGAGAGAGGGAAAAAAAAAAACGAAGTCATCACATCACTGCCGTTATTCTTAATAGGTTTCTGAATCCACACCGATCCGCCAGTTGACAGATGGCAGGTTATAGAGACAGAGAAAAATATTATCCTTTTATAACTAAATTCACTTTCCTCTGAGAAGCAGCAGAGGCCGCTGCTATGGAAATAAAGGTCACCATGGCAACAGTAAACAACCCTCAAGAATGGCCACTGAATACACTGAAAAGAACATCTGCCCCAGCACAGTGTCCCAGCTGCCCTGGGGCGAAACTTGCTAATAGTGCAGTGATGCCCCATGACAGGAGCCGCCGCCTGTACCCTGTCCAAATAAATGAAGTGTGCAATTGAAGCCGACATCAAAATGCCTGCCCTTGCAGATTACCGCCTCTGTGCCTCCAAACTGAATGACTAATGATTTGGGGAGTGGGGGGAGTTGTTATTTGTCAGTTTTTGTACTAGATTACATACCAAAAAATTCAATTTACTGTGAATAGCTCCATGGCACTTTATCTGGGGTATTATGTTGGAAAATTACTTTTTACTGTTTAAAAAAAAGTACATTTTTCATGCTTCAGATGTGCCGTTTAATTTCCAGAGGGATAATATGATCCAGGAGAAAACCCCACAAGCTATTAATAATGTGCATTATGCTGGCTATAAAGGACATTGTCCTCCCTCTTCCCCCTCCCCCCAAGGTAAACTAACTATACTTTGAAGTCCTTTTTGCCTACGGGCGGCCAGTTGCACACAATCCCTAAAGGAGCCCACGCTTAACTTTAATGAACACATCCTACAAGAAACAGGTAAAACAACTTGTTCAGCCACCTATAATACTGAATTCCTGAAACAGTCATCTCATGGTGCTAAGAACCTGGTAGATGCTCAACAAATAATTCTTAACTGATTAACTGGAAACTGATGTGTAACAGCAAGCCCAGGACTCTTGCCATTACTAACATGGTTCCGACTTATACAGGTGGCCAACACAGAGACCAACAGGTGTTGATCTGCAGATTTTCCCATCGTCTTGTTGTCAAGATTTGTTAGAGTACTTCTGAAGAAGTAGGATTTTGTAAACTAAAGTTCACACTGGCATTTTGGAAGGTGTGAACTATGATTCATAGGTTATGGCATATTAGCAAAATATTTTTTTTCTTCTCACATATCAAACAGCCTAAAAATGCTTTCCCCTGCTTATCCGTTTTTGTGGTAGTAGCTACTAAAATGATTTCTTTCTCCTTCGCATCCAGTTCTTGTATCATCACTGGAGAATGGCAACCGCTAAAGTAAATTCGTGGTTGCCCAGCTAGGTGGTTTCAAATTAGTCACCTAGAGTGCTCAACTTTTGAGTCAGTACAAAAAGATTTTCAGGAAACAAAACAAATGGAATCCCAAAGTGGCTAGAGATCTTTTTTTTTTAATGGAGTTTTCAAGAAAATGTAGGTGAAATTTTTCTGTTTTCGTTCAGAGGGCATACTTGGATACTGGCAAGCAGTGGGAAAGGTAGTTATTTTAATATGAAAAAAAAAGAAGAAAAGCTAACGAAAGGAGAACACACAAGCACCCACACTCAAAAGGACTCACAACAAATGACAGAATCCCCTTCAGTTTCTAGTCTGAGTATAGACAACCAAGCTTTTCATGATTTTCACTGAGGCCCATTTCTCTACCCTCTGAGGACTGAGAGCCGGGGCAGCACCAACTCAGAAGATCAAGCCCTTTGTAGTTTTATAGGGTGAGGGTATTCAGAAGCCTTGACAACAATGGCAGAAGTGATGCAGGATTTTGCTCTGTTTGACTCTGGAGGTGATGCACTTAAGCCCTGAAAAACTGGACTCAAGGGAATTGAACTGTATATATTTTACCGTATTAAGTCAATTCACACAGACAGAGGAGTAAACGAAAACTGGAACAGCAAGCGACAATCCTTTTCTAAGGTGAGGGCAGCGAATGGCTTAATTTCTTTCTAACTGATTACTGCAACGATTAAAATGAGGCCTACTACCTTAGGCCTAGACTTAACAAAAGACAAGAAAGAAAAGTTTAAAGTCATAAACCAAATATTTTTCTAAATCTAATATGTTAAAATTTGCTTTGTGGTTACACATTTATTTTCTAGAGTCACGTTCTATAAAATAAGGATAGTAAGAGCACCTCCCGGGTTGTTGTGATGATAAAATGAGATATTTGTGAAGCACTTTGTAAACCTTTAAGTGCTATATAAATGTCGGCTGCTGTTGCTACTGCTACTATTACTACCATTACCACCACCACCACCACAATGGCTAGCTCTTTCTAGTACCAGATACCCATATTGAAAACGTGAACAGATCATTATTTTAAATCTAACCCAAGTCTTCTAGCCTATCACTTAGGCCTTCTAACATACTTAACTCATTGGCCACTTTTTGATATTCTGTTCACCTTTTAAAAATCCTATTGGTCTATCAAATCCCTTTCATTTCTTACAAGGCTTTATTTTATTTTTTCGGAGAGGCAGTTGGGGTTAAGTGACTTGCCCAGGGTCACACAGCTAGTAAGTATCAAGTGATCCAGTGTCTGAGGCCGAATTTAAACTCAGGTTCTCCTGACTCCAGAGCCGGTGCTCTATCCACTGTGCCACCTAGCTGCCCCTTTATAAGGCTTTAAAAGAAACAAATTCTATCAGCTAGCTTGGCCCTTCTCTAAGTTAGCAAAACATTTCAGATTTTTCTACTCTATCTGAAGTTTGCTAAAACTATCCTTGTGTGTAATTGTGACTACTCCTGTCTTGTTTTAGTTCCTGGAGGACCGAAACAACTTTTTTTACCCCTGATCAAATCTTGAACTTTGGCCAAACAAGTCTACTTGCTGTTCCTACCATAGAACACAGTAAATGAGTAAGTGATTAAATATCCTTCTCACTTTTCTCTCTCTATCTGAATCCTGCCCATCCTTCAAAGTCCATTGTAGGAACCACCTCCTAAATGGAGCCTGCCTTGACTTTGCTTCCTCTGAACTCAGGAACACTTCCCAACTATACCAACCAGGTCACCTGTCACACAGTGCCTTGTATCATTAGTTATTAATATGTAACACCCTGACTCACATTTACTGGATATTTAAGGTTTTTCAAAGTGCTTCGAAGGGCTGTGGTAACCCCCATATAACAGATGAAGAACTGAGAGGCTCCAAGTTGAATGATTTGTCCATGGTCACACAAGGAGTAGGGTTTGAATTCAGGTGGCATTAACATTGGACACTGGTCCAAACCAGCGAGACTGAAACAGCCAGAAATGGAGTCTTAAATTGGCAAGAAAGACAAAGGGATAGGGTTAAGATAAAACAAAATGCCACCACCCTTGAGTTCTACTTTTTCCCTTTCAGTGTTTGTTCACAATTCATTAAAAGAGAAAGAGAGATAGTGGAGATGATTAGCAAAGGGACTGACGTAGGAAATGGGAGATGAGATTCACCTAAGGAGATGATGTTATCCTTTAAATGGCAAAAATTGGAGATGTTCTCATCCATGGGGACTAGAGAGAAACTGACCCTGCTGAGGTCATTGGCCAGGTGCTATGATTTGATCATAAATGATGTGATTGAAGAAATTAAAGAAAGCCATAAATTGGATTCTAATTTGTGAAATAAAAAATCTACCATATAGGACATGGAGATAGGGAGATCCAGGACAGAACAGATGCTTTAACAAAGACCTTTAATCTTGAAAAAAAATACACACTACTCCCTCCCCTTCGGCCTAAAAACCTTTCTGCTTTGAAGAAACTGAGCAAATCAAAATATTTTGTCTGGAGAGATAAGATGAGAAGATAAGCTAACTTGTACTTTCCTTTTATGTAATATTATGTCCTCTATGCACAACCAGAGATTCTCTCTCTCAGTGTATGGTGGTGATGGAGGGACTCTAAATAAACGTTCAAAAAACCAAAAAACCCCAAAAAACAGTTCTTCACTGCAGCGTTAATTTCCAAAGTCCAGGTTGGATTTACATCATTACCTTGGTGAGTAGCAAGTATTCCCACCAGCTAAGAAGTTGCATGGGAAAGCAATTTCCTATGAATTCTGTCTTTCCTTATCCCTGAAAAGCCCAATTCTTTCTACTTCATGGAGGAAGGGACACCTCCAACATTTAGAGGATAATGTGGCACTGTAGGAAAAGCTATGGAAGTAGATATCAGAGGATATGGTTTCTAGACTCAGCTCTTCTTCTGAGGAGCTTTCATACCGTAGGCAGTTAGTGGTGTAAGTGGACTGAATTCTAGGTTTGGAGTGTCTATGTGAACACAGACAACTCATTCAATTTCTGCTAGCCTAAGTGTCTTCATGTGTAAAAATGGGAACAATAACAGCACCTGTCGTTC